CCCCCCGCCGCTCCAGCCCTGGCGAGCGCGAGCTCCGGCTCGCTGTGCCGCGTAGAGCGTAATCTCAGCGCACTCCTCCCCACGCCCCCACCCACAGGCAGAAGATGCCGGTGCAAATTCAACCAGCAGCAGAGGTAAGAAGCCTCTCTGGACTCTCACTCATCTACTCCCGCTCTGAAGGAGCACTGGGGGTGAGGCCGGAAGTCCACTCAATCCAGAGCCAGAGAGACCCCTCGGCAAATATGTATCAAGCACCTACTACGTGCCCAGCCCCAAGCCAGGCCTTGGGACCAAGCCACGAATTAACTGCCCTCCCTGCCTGGCTGAGCTTCCGGCCCAGTGGGGGCGGTGGCGATGGGCTCCAACAGACCCACAAATATAAAATCACGAAGCGCCGTAAGTGCTGTGAAAGAAAGAGCCGCGGCGAAATGAGATCACCTCACTTGGCGGCCCAGTTTAGCTCGGAGTCCTGTTTCTAGCTCTCTGATTCATCCTTAAATAAAAATGCAAAGCCCAGGCAATGTATGAATACCTTGTCGGTATTAAGATACTTGTAGATGTTATTATAAATAAAGGTAGTATTTATTGGGTGTGTCCCACGTGCAGGATGCTGTTTCATGATGTGTTATTTACCCCTCACACCATATCTATAAGGCAGGTGCTTTTATTAACCTCATTTTACAGATGAGGAAACCAAGGCACAGGAAGGTGGTCACACGCCCCAAATCGCTCAACTGCAAGATGAAGGCTCCAGGTTTCTAACCTAGGCCGTCTCCAGGCAATCTGCCCTCAAGTCGCTTTGGCTATACCTCCTTTCCAAATTCTAGTTCCTTCTCCAGCACTCGGGGAGGTACTCTCTGTTACCGGCTTGGAGCGCCTCCTGCCAAACACTTAAACTGCTCCTGGGTGCACTGGATTTTCTGGCGGCCCGGAACCTGCTCCTCGCCCATCTCTGGGTCTCAGCACGCAAGTCTGTGAAATGGGGGCTGCACTGGGGTTTCCCGGGTGTAGCTGCCTCTCTCCTTTTCCATCCCCAATTCCTTCTGCATCTCCTTTCTCAGGACTGGGGAACCTGATGAAGAGGAGGGAACTTTCCGCAGCTCAATCCGCCGTGAGTTTGGGGAGACTTCGGGTGTTTGGGGATGCAAGCTGGTTCCAAGAACCCCTTTCCTGGTCCTCCGTGGGCGCGTGGAGCGGGGGGCTTGATCTGAAACCCGAGGTCGGGGAGTTGCCCTGCTGTGCTCCCACCTTCCAGAGGAGCTGGGGTGCCCCTCCTGCTATCCGAACTCTATGTGTTCCCCCTTAGGTCTGTCCACCCGCAGGCGGTAGAGACACCTGGTGCGATGGAAGCCAGCCAGGTCCTGCAGCTCTGACTAGGCTGGAGGGGGGAGGGGGGGAGGAGGAGGGGGCGAAGGGCTGGGATAGGGGGCTTGGAGGGCTCTCCTGCCTCTTACCCTTTTCACCCACACAGAATTCCCCTGGCACCTGACGCCTCCCACCCACCTTCCGCGCGCCCACCTCCATCTGGACTGTCCTCTTCCCCAGCCCTGCCCCCACAGACTCCTGTCTGCCGCTCAGATTTCCAATAAAACGTGCTTTTCTGTCTTGACAGAGCAGTGTGGATCTGTCAGTCCCTTCGCGCGGAAAGCCTGGGCGCCCCCTTGGCCCCGGCAGAGGGCGCCCCCACCCTTGGGGAAAGGGCGGGGACGTCGGCAGTGGGCGGGGGCGGAGGCGGGGGTGGCTGGGACGGGGGCGGGCTCTCCGGGCCCCCATTGGCTACGGCCCCCTCCACACCAGGGCTCCCCCCGTCTCCCCCCGACAACAGTCCGTCCTGGTTCCAGCTGCTGCAGCCGCGCCTTCACCGCCTCGGCATCCAGCCGCCCCCTGCTCCGGCTTGGCATGGCGACCCCGACCCAGGTCACCACAAAGGGTGAGCGTCGCCTGGGGAGAGGGCGCAGGGGGTCTCCGGGATCTTAGAGCTTAGGAGAGAGGATCTGGGGAGATTCCAGTACTGGAAGGGGAGGGGAATGGGGAAGGGGATGTCCGTTCCTACCATGGGCGGAGGCCCCTGCAGTGCACCCCTTGGCACCCCTCCAGGCCTCTTGGACACCTTCTCCCGGTGGTGTCGTTCCTGTGCGGGACCCGTGGTTGGAGAGCGGCAGTCCCGGGAGAAAGGATGCTCGGACCGGTAGCTATAGCAACCGGGTGGCTGGTCCAGCACAGCGGTGGTAGTGGACTCGAAGAGATGGGCTTCGAAGGTGGGAGCGGGTGGATCTGCAGCCACAGAGGTTCTCGCAGATTTCAGGAGGGTAAGGGGAGGGGGTCCATATGCCTCTTGTTTTTCTAGTGCTGGCACCTACGGTGGGTGTTTCCTGAAACCTCTGACAGGCAGGTTCAGTGGGAAGCAGGGAGAAAGAGGGAAAGATAGGAGCTGGAGGAAGTGAGAGAGAGACGGAGAGAGACAGAAAGAGCAAGAGAGAGGGAGACCGAAAGGAATACAGAAAGAGACTGACAGAGAGCCTGAAAGAGATAGAGACTGAGAGACAGAGGGACTGAGGCAACTATGGAGAGGGAGGCATAAAGACACAGAGGGGGAGAGAGAGAGAGAGATGGCCCCACAGCGTGAGAGGGAAATGGAAAAGAGAAGGGGGGGTGGCACAGGGTGGGGCCCGTACCACTGCAGTGAGCCCCCATGGGCAGGGATGGGTGTCAGGACCCTCCTTCCCAGCCCACATTCGGGGTGTTGTCTGGTCCGAAAGGTGCACTTGGGTGTTCACACAGATGCCCCTCCCTACCTCCATCGCCCACACAGAGATTTACATTTCACACCATTAGTCCAATTATGCACCCCCGAAATACTGACCCCCCCAACAGCCCCCTTTCTTGAGCCTGCTTCTGCAGAGGGGCAAGGGGAAGGATGCTTCCATGGTGGGGGAGAGGTGGGCAAGGGAGGGTCTCTTGCGCTGAGAGCAGGGCCAGGGGAGAGGCCAGCGGTGCTGAGGAACCTCTGGCAAGTGAAGGGAGCCCCAATTCCACTCTGATCTCTCCTCCCCTGCCCGCTTTCCTGGGAGGCGGGGGCTGCTGCACTGAGCCATATCTGCAGAATTTGAAGCAGGGTGGGGGGGTGGGGGTGGGGGGGCGGTTGCAGAGGCTGGAAGCCACCCTGGGGAGAGGGGGCAGGGCTGAGGCAGCAAGCCTGGCGGGAGCCTAGTGCTTCCTTTCGCAGAGATGATGGTTAGCAGGATCGATGGCAGCAGACGGGCAGAGGTGGGAGGACAGATGCCTCCACCTCCCCACACCCTTTCTCCAGTCACAGCAGGAGAGGGGACCACAGGTCTTGGGAAACCCCGGGGGAGGAAATGCATGTTGCCTGTTGCAAACCACTTAATGAAATTAATTAATGAATGAATGGATTGTTTTGGGGCGGGGGATGGCTCCCGCATCCCCCCATCCCCCACCCCATCAGAGAGCAGGAGGGTGTGTTGGGGACAAACAGAAAGAAGATGCAGGAGCACAGCTGGGCCTGGGTCCCTATCCCTAAGAAGGACCCTCCTCTTGGCCAGAAGCCAGTCCTGCAGAGGCAACAACAGGAGGTACAAAGGGAGCAGAGGCAGTCAAGTTTGGCCCCAGAGTTAGAAACCCAACCCCCAAGTCCCACACAGAACCCTATCCAGCCTGGGGTACCCAGACCCATCAACTTTCTTCACCTCTCAAGATGCCCCAGTTGCCATAGTAACCACCTCCTTCCTGATGTCTCCTTGGCAACTGGCCAGGAGTGGTGCACATTCCTTCTCCTGCCTCCTGGCTCCACCCTTAGCTCAGCCTCGTCCTGAGGACCCAGATTGCTGGGGCAGCAGAGACCAGAAGAGGAACTTCTGCATGGAGCAAGGAGCACCCAGGGAGGAACCAAAGAGGACTCTGGGGCAGGGGCTCACCCACTGGGCTTCTCTGATGGTTTGGGGAGGCAGGATGTGTGGAAACACAGGAGACAAAAGCAGGATAATTCAACTGCTCCACCTCTGATGCAGTCTCCCTGCAGCCAAGTAGGAGCTCATTCATTCATTCATTCATTCATTCTAGAAAACGTCTTTGAAAAACTTTATAAATGCCAGGATTAACAGTAGAGATGAATCCAATAAATTTACTCTCCATCTGCTGGGGGAGCTAAGACAGAGCACAGATGGCTCTAAAATAACGTTTCCCCATCTTGATGCTTATGAGTACCACCTTCATGATTTTTGTCCTGTCCAAATGTTCCCCACACTGATATTTATTTAACATTTTTCCTTCAAAGAATTAACTTTTAAAAAACTTTGTTAGCTTTATTTTATACTGCCACCACAAATGGAAAATCAGGAATTTTTCTTTTTTTGGTCTTACATTGAAGGCAAATATTAAAATGATCTTAAACAGGTGACTTCACTTTTCTGAGCCTCAGTGTTCCTCTTTTGTGGAATGAGGATGAACATAGCGCCTATATCAGAGAGCTGCTGTGAAGATAACTGTGTTAATATCTGTAAAGTGCTTAGAAGAGAGCCTGGCATGGACTCAGTGCTATCAAATGCTGCTTAGATAAATAAATAAAGGAGAAAAGCAAATAACGTCATAACAGTCTATTTAGATATTGTTGCCTGCTGAAGGCCCTGAACCCAAGGCCTGTTTTATCTTGGGAGATTAACAAGGGTTGGAAAGTGTAGAGTCACATCAGCTCCTATTTAAGACTTGCTCTTTGAAGATTGGACAGGGAAGTGAGAAGGGTGAACTTACACACTGTGAGTCAGTGCTAATCAGGGTCTTGCCTGGGTGCCACCTGCATGAGTCAGTTTAAACTAGAGTATGCTGTGGTAACAAAAAATCTCAGGGCTTCCCTGGTGGCGCAGTGGTTGAGAGTCCGCCTGCCGATGCAGGGGACGCGGGTTTGTGCCCCGTTCCGGGAAGATCCCACGTGCCGTGGAACGGCTGGGCCCGTGAGCCACGGCCGCTGAGCCTGCGTGTCCGGAGCCTGTGCTCCACGATGGGGGAGGCCACAACAGTGAGAGGCCCGCGTACCGCAAAAAAAGAAAAAAAAAAAAAATCTCAGTGGCTTCTCACAGTGAAGGTAGATTTCTCATTTAGACTATGTGGCCACCACAGGTCAACTGGGGGGGCGGTTCTCTACTCACCAAAGAAAACTGGAGAAGCCACGATCCTGAGCATTCATATCACCAGGCCAAAGGCAAAAGAGAGTTCTTGCATGGGCACTTAAATGCTGCAGAGTTCATTGGCCTGAATTAGTCATATGTCCCCCTTCCCAACCTCAAGGTAGCCAACCTTCCTGAGCCTGGATAGGGGAAGAACATTAATGACAACATCTGGCATCTCCCTGGCACTCCTGATACCCCACCCCCACCCCCGCTCCCCTAGTGGCGCTTGTTTTGCAGAATTGTGCTCTAATCAAGGCAGAGTGTACTAAAAGCTGTCAGAGGAATTAGGGAAGCATCAGGATGGGTTTCTTGAATGGGAAGGATGTTCTGAGCTCTCCTGAAGGGGAATATAGTTTGAGACAGGGAGGTGGGAGTTGGGGAAAAGTAAATCCACAGACACACAGACACACACACGTTTTATCCACATGTTAACATTTATGAAATCAGAGTGAGTCTTCCAATGGATGAGTATGTTTTATGTGGTACAGCTACATACATATGCATACATATACACACACACTGGGAAAGTTATTACAAAGTCAATTTTGAATCTTTAAATTGGTGTCTGAGAAATAAGTAATATAGGATATATATATAATATAGTATGATATAATATAATATAAAATTTTGGACATCTCTGCTCTGCTGGATTTGGTGTCAGGAGCAAGTGGATGAGAGCAGTAGCCACAGTGCCTGCCTTTTGGAGCTCTCAGATGGCTGAGAAGTTTCAGGGAGTGTTCAGGGGAAGCCGATACACTCAGCAGTCCACTCAGCAGTGGGATTGGAGTCTCAGCATCGTATGCAAATGGGACTATATATGTGTATTTCAGGAAATGAGTCCATGCTTGCATTAGACCTCCACGGTGGGCTAGGACCAGGACCGCCATGTATGGTTAGGTAGGTTGTACACTGTACAAGGGAAGGTATCGACCAATGGAATGAGTGGGGGCTGGAATCCAGCCTATGCTCCTCTCTTTAAGCTTTGTGTCTGGCCATGAGGCTACATCATCCAGAGCAAGTGGTCTCATTATCTGATTTCTACACAGAAACCACTGGACCAGTGGCCCCATCAGGATACTCAAAAATGTTAAGAAGCTCATTGTTGAAATTTTTTTCCCCCTCTCTTTCTCTGCCTTCTTGCCACAGTTCCTCAGGAACCTGACCCATTTTACTACGGTGAGTGGCAGATTCTGTGATGAGGGTACCCTGGGGCTGGATGGAGGGGTGGCTGTAGATCCCCATGGGTCACTGCTGAAGTGGTTTCAGCTATGGCTACACGCTACGTGCTGGCCCACTGGCCATGTGACCATGTGGATATAATTCACATCAGCTGGGCTCATGGAGGGCTGAGTCAGACTTGGGGAGTGGGTACCCTCTATGGACCCTCTCTAGGCTTCACCAGCACTCTGGGCTGGTGCACTGGGATCATCAGAGAAGCAAACAACCCTGACACCAGGCTGCTGGGATTTGAATCCTGGATTATCCACTCACTAGCTGTGTGGCCTTGAGCAAGAAACTTTGCCTCTCTGGGCCCTCCTGTAAATATAGAATAGTAATGGTTCCTACCTACAAGGACTGTGGGAAGGAGTTACTCGGATGATATCATTAAATCTTCCCCACAGCACTGAAGCTCAAAAAATGACTCCAGGTCTAGCAGAACTGACCCCAGTTCCCCCTCTAAATACCCTCCTGCCCTCTCCCATTGCTCACTCATACCGCTTCTCCATAGGCCAAGTTCTTTCCTGCCTCAGGGCCTTTGCACTTACTGTTCCCTCTGCCAGAATACTCTTCCTCTAGCTCTCCACACAGCTCCTTTTTCTTCTTCAGGCCTCAGATCAAATAATGACTGCCTACTAGGAGAAGCCCTCCTGACTCCCCAGCAAGAGGGGCTACACCCACATCTAGCCATGGTCACATGACTGAGGTTTTTGGTTTTCTTTTGTTTATCACAATATGAAGGACAACTCCCTGAGGGCAGGGGCCTGGGCTGCTGCTGGTACGGAGTGGATGCTTTATAAATTAATATTTTTATAAATGTTTACTACAGCATACTAGACAAGAATAATTCTTATGAAGGAAAATAAAAGAAAGAATGAGATTAGGAAATGTTGAGGAGAGCATGGAAAATTCTAAATGAGACAGCCAGAGAATGTGTCACTAGCATTTGAATAAAGCCCAGAAGTTGGTAAGGGAGGGATATTTGGGAGAGGAGCTTTCAGGCAGAGGGCTCAGCAAGTGCAAAAGCCCTGAGGTAGGACCATGCCTGATAGGCTCCAGGAACTGCAGGGAGACTGGTGTGCTTGGAGTAGGGGATGAGCTCTGAGAAGGCATAGGAAGGCATAGGAACTAGATGATACAGGGCCTCATGGGCTGTGGGGAGGACTTTGGCTTTTCCTTGCAATGCAGTGGAAGTTGGAGGGGGTGGAGTGGTGCGCTCTGAACTCAGGAAGACCCTGATCAGACTCAGGTGTTAACAGGATCCCTATGGCTGGAGGGTTGAGTAGGGGGATGGGTGACAGAGAGACCACAGAGAAGGCTGTTTGCTGAAAAACATACATACATATATATATATATATATATATATGCGCAATAGAGGAAGGTCATATCTATATCTATATCTATGGCCAAAGAATCCAGAGAAGGGTAAAGAGGAGAGGTTAAGGGGAGCGCCCAATGCCCAAGGCCATGCACTTGATCCTCACGTTGACCCACTGGAGGAGCCTGCAGCCTTGAAACCAGGCCAAGGCTCCAGGGGAGCTGAGGTGCTGCCCCCACTTTGATGTCCTCCAATATCTTCCCCAGACTATGATACTGTCCAGACCGTGGGCATGACTCTGGCTACCATATTGTTCCTGCTGGGCATCCTCATCATCATCAGTAAGTGTGACCCCTTCTTGGGCTCCAAAGCCCTGGGCACCTACAGTTCCCCTGCTGGCTTTTGTCCAGACCCTTATGTCCTGTCTCCTTGTTCTGTTCTGTCTCTGTCCTAACAGGCAAGAAGGTGAAGTGCAGGAAGGCGGACTCCAGGTCTGAGAGGTCCGGCAGCAGTGGGGAGAGACGGGGAGGGGTGGGAGCAACCTGGGGCGCAGGGGTGCTGCTAAACAAAAGGGCCCCCAGGGCCTGCCAGGTGTTTCCCAGAAAGCCTGTGCAACTAAGCCTGTTTATGCTTTTCTCTCTCATCTTTGCTTCCACAGCCCAACATGCAAATCCTGTAAGTCGGAGCTTCCCTCCTCAGGTGAGGGTGTGAAAGGGTGTGGTTCTGGGAAGATGGGTGGGAGCAGGGAGGGGAGTCAGAGGGGAAACTGCACTGGATGTCCCTAAGAATGGGGCCACCAACGACGGAGCTGAGACCCTGCCGATGAAACGTGTTAAGACATGAAGTTAGCGGGATGTGAAATGTCCTAAAGGGTCCTTGAAACTGCCCAGAAACAAGAACCTAATCTCCTAAAAGCAAGGATGAACTAATTACCCAGAAGAGAAAGCCACAGCCTGTAGAGAGAGGGCTCCACATGGGAAAAGGATGTTGGCAGTCAGAATGAAGGCAGAGTTGAGCACTAGAGAAGGCAGGAAGATAGAATGTTTTCCAGACTTTAGTGTTCAGTTGGGAAGGTCTAGGATGAAATGACTGAGAAAAAGGGAGGAAGGAAGGAAGGAAGGAAGGAAGGCTTGTGAATAATTGAATCAAAAAACAAAAGGAGAGACATATAGAATACAGGTTTTAAAAATTGATATTGGAGGGCTTCCCTGGTGGCGCAGTGGTTGAGAGTCCGCCTGCTGATGCAGGGGACACAGGTTCGTGCCCAGGTCCCGGAAGATCCCACATGCCGCGGAGCGGCTGTGCCAGTGAGCCATGGCCGCTGAGCGCGCGCGTCAGGAGCCTGTGCTCCTCAACGGGAGAGGCCGCGACAGTGAGAGGCCCGCGTACCGCAGGAGGGAAAAAAAAACAAAAACAAAAAACCTACTAGATTTACATGGGATTAGTATAGGTGTGAGGATGGAAAGACGGAAGTATAGGATAAAGAGTGAAGAGAATGGGGGTGTAAGAGGAGGTGGAGGGTGCAGGAGGGGATAGAGGAAGAGGGGGAAGGAGTCCCTAGAAGGGGTGGAGAATGGAGGGGGAGGGTGGA